TGCAGGAACAGCCAAGAAACCTGCACTGAATAAACCATGTTTTCTCAAGGCAATTTCATGTCCCCGTCTTTCCTCCCAATATTGCATCAATTAGGATGCATGTGGCCATGAAGCGCTGGTTGTTTTCAGCTACTCCGTACTTGTCTCATGAAACCTCTCTGTCAAGTAATCAGCTGCATCCAACTGTCTCATGAAAAGTCATGGTCAATCAAATGTGATGGTGGCATATCGACATCAGGGAGTTAGCGTCCGTGGGCTGGGAGCCATGTTGCCAAATTAATACTAAAGATTTCTCGGCCTCCACTTGAAGTACAGACATTTTTTTTTTGTCTGCTGGCTATTCTCAAAATAATCCGACCATTTGCCAAATTTCATTGAATTCTGAGATGCTCGAGCACGGAACATTACCTCACTTGAGGCGGAGCGATCCAACTCTGAACAGTGAAAATGAGCATCGCACGACACAGGGGTGCTGGAAAAAAAGCTGACATGCTTCTCAACACCTGGTAACCGTCCAATGTCGATCGCATAGCCAATTTTTTTTTTAATGGCATTTATGAAGCTGTGTTTCTCCCATAGAAAACAAAATGGTAGGTTTTTTTTTTTTAAATAATAGTCACCCTATATTCAAAGAGGGATTTTTATGGGAGCATATCCCCACTCTACCCGGTCGCTCGCAGTTACAATACTCCCTTTTTGTTTTGTCAATGACGGCATGTTACCTCTTCTTGAAGCCAGTCACGGCGCATGGCACCCATCACGTCATGCAACGCATTCCTTACTACCCGACAAGTAAAGAAATGATTCCGCACTGTTACTTGGGGTTTACGTAACTCGAACCGGTTTCCTCCCGACGACCGCAGCATCGAATCACGCTCAGAATTTCCGGGGCTTCAACAAGGCCGCCTCTTGCTTCTTCAGCGCCCCGTCCTTCCCCCCCCCCCCTTCTCCCCCTCAAAAGGGAGAAGAGTCAATCCCTGGCGTCCAAAAAGATGCCGAAGCGGGAGGCATTTCTACTTTCTGAAGTAATACTTTCTAATGCATCCATTATTGCTTCATCCATTCTGGCGCATTTGGCACCCCTGGTGAATTTGCTTCCTGTGCTGGGGCTCATGTGTCGCATGCACAAGGCCAGCCCTGGGCCGCTTGAAGAATTTCGAGTGCTGCATTACTTCCGAGAACGGTGGAAGGGTGGATCGTAGAGCGTATGGGGGTGGATGATGATGACGTCATCTTTCTCGTGATCCCGTTCGTCATCATGGCGGCTCGCTTGGTGTCATTTCACGTGCTCTCGTTAGTCGCTTCGTGGATCTTCTCGAGGTACGGGTGTACCTCGTGTTGTTCTTGTATCGGTGTCGGTTTTCGAATAATTATCTTGAAGACTTCGAGGTGGAAGTGTTGGAAGTCTTTTCGGGAGGATTAGCTGGTGCTATGTGGTTTACAACTTGTGAAAGATTTTTGTTGAATTCCCGGCTTTGACCTAATTAGGCATAATTGTGTTCTTGTTGTACTTCCAACTCATCCTTTAACAGATTATATCGAAGGTGGTGGTTATCAATCGCAGCCTTTGATTTTTATGAAAAACACGATTGGAATGATTATTGAAAGAAAAACGTAGACCGAGTTCAATTAGTAATGCCGTCCATACTATGCATGACTGGCCCACTGCTCAGGTACAAACTACTGTATTGCTCGATGTGGACAGAAGCCCTTCACAGTTCTGTTCACTGTTGTAGCGGGTTGCAGAATGGCAAATAACTTGCTAATTGAATAAGATGGAAGATGAATGCAATAAGCCATAGCCCTACTCTCATTGTAAGTCAACTTAGCACATTCCACATATGAAAAGCAGTCCCATCTATCAAAGAAAGGTGAAATGGAATAGCTAAAAATAACATGAACCACAATCATATCATTCAGCTGCAGTCAAAGTTTACTCTAGTCATATTCATGTTAATACTAAAAAAAAAATTGAATGCCTGTCTCTACTGAGAATTATCACAATAACTTGGAATCTGAATCATAGGCTTATTTTAATTGATTTCTTTCTAGGCCTAAACTGCCTTTATTGATGGTGTGATGTTTGCTTCTACATGCAACTAGATTGCCTAGATGGCATTTTACTTTGAGCCAGGCAGCAAATTGGTTGTCACAATACCTAGAACCATAAAAGGTGATAGCTTCACATTTATGAGATTCACTGTGAAGTGGAGAATGTATGGTGGTCAATCAAGCATAGATACAGTGAGTTTGCTGACTTGCATGAGAAGCTCATGCAGACACATGCATTGCCAAAGGACATTCTGCCACCCAAGAAGATTTTTGGGAACCAGTCACCTTCATTTGTGAAAAAGAGACGAGAGGAGCTGGAGACATACCTGAAGAACATCTTAGAGTTTCTTCAAAACGTTTATCCCATAGAGCTCCTTGAGTTTCTAGACTTCCCAAATGTGGAAACAGAGGGAATCTTGGCCTCTTTGGCTGAGCAACTGTATACTCAAGGAGATTTTCTTCTTGAGGCCCATGTTCCTTTTAAGACTTCACCTCTTAGGGTGAGTTTTGAAGACTGAGTTCATTTACAGTTAATCCAAAATGGCCATCTGGCTGATTAAGCCTGCTTTGTCATATTGGTAGCATCTTTTGGATTTACCAGGATCAACAAGGGGTTGGTGAATAGCTTGATAGGTAGAAGACTGACTTTTATACCAGAGACCCAAGGTTTAAGACCAATCAAGTTGAGTATATATATTTCTTAGTAGAAGTCCTGGAGTGTTTGAGATGGGAGATTTCTTTACATGTATCACTTTCATCTCTTGACATTAAGAATCCTGTGATGAAGGCTACTACATGCTTGGAGTAAATATAAGGCTAAATTTAGTCTCCCTGTGGGATTTCAGGGGTTGAGGAAACTGGGTTTTTGGGAGCAAATTACAGCTTTAGAGCTACACCACATGGGGCTGGAAGCAGGGATAGGTAAACAAGGTTTTTTCCTTTATTTTTAGAATTGAGAGTAATGGCTATGCAATGATAGAATAACCATAGTTGCATGACTCATCTCCAAACCACTTGAGTAATGAATGAGATCAACACAGTAGCTCATAATTTTTTTTACTTATCCTCATTAATTTCTTTAAGTAATCACCATAAATGTAAAGCAAATTCCAATCATGTCTTAGTTACTTTAACTTAGGTTACTAAATGTTCTTCAACTTGTTGATGTAATCATGTAAATTTTATCTTGCAGATATTGCAATATTTCACTGATAGCCCAAATGTTTGTAATTTAAAATGGTCAGGTCACTTCATGAAGAATTTCATCAATGTAATATACTCAATAATAAAACTTCAAATGAAGAAAATTTTGAATAAAATATGGGAATGAAAATACAGTGAATGGTGATTTTAGAATAAGAAATAGTATGGAACTGCCAAAATATATCATTATCAGGTCATCCTCTGAACAAGAACTCAAGGTATACCTAAAACACATGAGAAATGTTTCACTGACAGACTGTCAGGCAATAATGAAATGTTCTATGTCCAGATTTGAACTTTTGAATTATGGTACATCAATTGGTTACTGTCTGGCCTAATCCACTTTTTGGTCATATACTCGATGAGGATCCACTGGTTATCCCCATTGGCAATGCATCACACTGGTAATTTCTTGTAATATTTATGCATCAGATCATTAAGATGACAGTACAAGGGCTCTAGTTGGTGACATCTATGCACATTCATGGGAACAGCCTCCTGTACTTAATGACATGGTCATGTATCTTGTAATGAATTCTGTGTATGAAATCACTGATACATCTGCTCATGTTTATATTTTTCTTTTTCTAGTTACATGCCATTTCAGAGAGACTCCATCTTGCCTGCCCCCCTTTTGGGTACCAGAAGAAGAGTCAAGACTTCAGTCATGTCTTGGACTATGTATCTCAAGTTGCTCATCTACATGTGATTGGGAGTGAGGACCCTATTGAAGGAACCAATATTATTCCCAATGGCCTCTGCTTTGACTTAGCTCCCTTTAGATCTTTGGACAAGCTGACTCTTGAGACTCTTCGTATTTCATGCATCAAAGGCATAGGCAATTGTCGAGAGTGAATGCAGGAGATCCAGGTGCTTCGCTCTCAGATGAAGGAACTATGGGAATTGATTCTCTGTGATGTTGTCCATCAAGATCCTGAACCCCTGGAAACTCGAGAAGTCTTTCAATGGTTACAGGTGCACACTGCATCATTCATTGGGAATGACATTGAAAGCATTGATGCCTCAGTTAGACTTATGCCTCGCCTGAAGTATCTAGATTTGAGCTGCAATAAGATTACCCAGTTGGAACATCTGACTGGGATGCCATTCCTGGAGGAAATGAATCTCTCATACAACTGTCTCACTCAGCTGGATGATTTGCACACCAAATTGGGTAACATTGTCACCCTAAATTTGTCTTCCAACAACATTTCTTCACTACAAGGCTTCACAAAACTTTACAGTCTGGTGAATTTAGACTTAAGCTGTAATCGAATTGCAAGCTTGGAACAGATCTGTTGCATTGGAGGATTGCCATGCCTGGAGAAGCTAACATTGGTTGGAAACCCTGTCACACTAGTAATTGATTACAGGATATGAGTTTTGGAGCAATTTGGAAAACGGGCAAATGAAATTCTGTTAGATCATGAGGCAACAGCACAGAAGGAGCTTGACCATGTTGCCATCCTCCAGGCCTTACAGAAAGCCAAACAGCCTCACAAATCACCCTCATCTCATTTTCATTGATGTTGCCTAATGAAAGTGCTCCTTCCCTGAATTTTTTTCTTTTTGAGAATCTTCTGCACTGGTATGGCAAATAGTTGAGTTGCATTTTTGTTGTTGATCAAACTGTGTTTCAACCCCTATTCTGTGAACATGATTTTGACAATATCTGGAGTGTCAGTATGCCAATATACATATACAAAAGCAGTAATATAAATGCATTGCAGTTATGTCCTCAAAATTACCCCTTTGGTTGGCAAATTTAATGTCAGTTTTAACTCGTATATTTCCATACTTACAGTACACAAGGAGTCAAAGTTGACCTTCATTGATCCTTTTTTTTTTTTTTTACATTGAAGGAACTTCTGGAAACCAAATGGCTTTGAAAGAAATAGTATCAGTATTGGGGATCAGTATTTAGATACTGCTCTCATTACAAGAAATTGTGCATCTTGGATAGTGGTTTACTGATTTTCAATGAAATTCATGTTTTTGCACTTGTACTAATAATAAAAAGGTACCATATTTATCATCCATTTTTCCTGGTGGTGTGTTGACAGCACCAGTGCTTTCCCCCTTGACTGTGATCCCTAATATATATGGCATATTGTTATTTTCATGGAGTTTCCATCTTTCCTGTTTTATTGCATTATGTGATACTACCAAAATGATTGATATTGCTAGCAATGTATGTATTTTTCATATTTCATTGTGAAACCCATTGTCTTTTGCATGCATTTGCAAATAGCAGACCAGAGAAATCCAATGCATATGAACTGAAATGTTTGTTTTATCTTCTGGTTGCCTAATGGCAAAGCATTCCTCTCCAATGCTGTAAAATGTATATTTTGTGTGTAACTTATTTTTTATATTAAACAGTAATTAATTATATCTATGGAACTTTGAGTGATTTCTTTTGGAATCACAACTGAATCTACTGTGTGATTCCAAGTAAAGCTCTTTTAGAATTCCTATGGTGAAATTTGAGTCTTGCAGTGAAGACAGGAGCAGCTCTTCATGCTGCTGCTATTTCAAGGAAACTCAAAAGGCCTGAGGCATTTCCAGTTATAATACTTCGTGTAAGAAAGGCCGTTCTGCCTCTGAAGCTTTAGTCTCTTCTCATTACGTGACTTCAATCTTGAACGGATCCACGCAACATCTTGTCAGATGTGTTTTTCTCGACTACTCGTCAGCGTTCAATAGTCTGAATCGTGACAAACCTCTAATCCAGCCTCGAGATTGAATCTTACGGTGGCCTTTGACGATTATCCAAAGCCATATATCGGACAACCTGCTCAGGAAGACTTGGTCCTCGACCTTGATGAATGCCAAGAATCGACGTCTCAGTTGCGGCAAACTGACATCCCTAAATCCGGGGAAAACGAACTTCGATGGACCTGAGACCTGAAGGTTCCCAGCGGTCGCGGAAGAACGGTTGCAGTTCGGTGTACGCCCTATAGCCGCTTTTCAAAGATCCTTCACTCTCTCCTTAAAATAGACTTTCTACACTCCAATGCCTATCTGTAGCTATTCTACCCATATTACGATGCGCTTTGCCTATGGTGTATACCTTCAAAAAGATGGTGTTTCTCTCTTGATGAAACAACTCCAAAATGATGTGCACCTCCCATTGTTCAAAGTTATCAACAACTTAATACCATCCAGGCAATGCTCTACTAGACCTAAATTTTCGCTTAACAAAATCCGAAATAAAAATCTTCATTCGACGGATGGCAAGACAGAAAAATATTTGAAATGTCAAATTTAATGTATTATTTGTAGCCGAGAACATCGACGGACTGACTCAAGGTCACGATAAGCCGTCATTAATATACGTGGGCAAAATATGGAATCTTTGCATCCAGTGAGAAATCCCGGTTTCGAAACGAACTTCGAGACTTCGATCAAAATGTTGGGAGCCACAAAACTTCTGTCCCTTGGAATTTCTTTTAATTTTAGGATTGGTGTCGCCATACAGCACTCTTGCAAGACCGTGCGCGTAGGCAGGAAACATTTCCTGCGATGATACCAGGGGAGTGGTTATACTGTAACTTCGTTGTGAAGTTCAGTGAAGCGATGAGCTCATACGTCCTGGTCCAAGAGAAGCAGTTTGGAAGAAAGAATTACACAAAAAAAGGTGCAGAAAAAATTATTTCTGCCATCATGTGACCCGACTTTATTCCTAAACGACCTCAGAACGGTTGAAAGGGAGTCCGCGCGAACGCAGACTCCCAAAGGCAAAAATTTCGCCGTTGACCTACCCACATTTGGGGCAGTCACAGGGGTCAGCTCAGCCGGAGTGCAATGGAAGAGCCTCACCCTGGGAGAACGACCTTGGTGATCATCGTTTCTCCCAGGTAAGTTTATGATTAATGGGGTCCCGGTGACCCTAGTCCAATTTTCCTTCCTCCCACTATGGCCCATCCCGCCATTCCTCAGCCACCCCCACTTCCCCCTTACCAATCAAGTAATCCACAAGGTTCGATTCCACTATGAACAAAGATGTTCGAAACGGGAGACAAAATCAAAACTCAATACTTCCTCTTTTACGATACTTCTGAGGAGAAGAGGATATGCAATAAATGTAAAAAATATCGCCGTTGACCTACCCACATTTGGGGCAGTCACAGGGGTCAGCTCAGCCGGAGTGCAATGAAAGAGCCTCACCCTGGGAGAACGACCTTGGTGATCATCGTTTCTCCCCGGCCAGGTAAGTTTATGATTAATGGGGTCCCGGTGACCCTAGTCCAATTTTCCTTCCTCCCACTATGGCCCATTCCGCCATTCCTCAGCCACCCGCGTCTTTCTTCTTCTATGAAAAGGTCACGAGGTGTACGGTTTTACTATAAACCAGAGTGTTTTATATTGGATATCGGTGGTAAGAAGGCAATGGTTCACTACAACAGCACCATGAGTGAGTAGAAGCTGGACTACTTGCTCGTTGCCGGTTTGGCTCCACCTACCGGCAGACTGAGGTACACACATATCACACACGTGCACATGCACAAACACACACACACAATCACACATTCACTTTATCTCTTGCCTTCTCTCTCTCCCTCCATCTCTTTCCCCCACTATCTCTCTCGCTCTATCTCACTCCTCTCGCCAAACTTGATTCTCCTCCCTCCACTTTGGCTATGCCAGAACAGATGCAGAGATGTCTGGAAAAGAAGCAAAAATTCGTCAGAAATAAATTCCGAATGCATGAACGGAAAGAGTTGGTTTGGAACCCCAGAATCAGCCTTCATTGAGGCGGTAATGGATCTAGGGCTGCAAGGATAAACAAAGCTTCATTTCATGTGCAGAGAATGGCTATAGACGACTAAGGCAATATATGAATGCAAAAGTGCATTCTTCTATAGCTTCGTGTATATAGTGTTTACATTAATAGCATTGCATGGGATGAAATAATTTTTTCGAATATTAAATACAGCAACAGAGGCGCTCCATGAGTCGACTATTCGCCTTCCTCAGCGGGGATCTCGGGTTTCCTCTGACACGAAACAAGCAACATGTTCCCTTGCTTGTTCGATGGGAAGCTCATAGAATAAATAGCAACCGATTGCGAAACAGAGGCATTTCGATTAGCGAGAATTCCTCTGATTTCCTCTCTATTACTGGTTGGAATGTATGGGAACCAGGGCGAATAATGCTGGGTTGATTCCCAGCGACGCGATAAATTCGTCGATTCCGACCGAAGGAATCGAGTCGATCGGCAACTGGTGAGGAAATCGATCCCGATCGGCGAACCGTGATGAAATCGGTCCCGAATGCTGCTCGTCCCCGTCGCTCCCTCTCGATTGGGAGCACGCTTGCCAAATGAGGGAATATGAGCATGCACCAAAGGAAGACTGGAAATGGAAACGCTGGCCTTTCTTTTCTCGCTTCATTTTTTCCTTCTCTATTTTTGTCGGCGATGCGGGCCAAAACTGACGCATCCATGTGACGTGGATCGTTAAAAAAAAAAGTTCCTTTCCATAAAAAAAACTCTGCTTCTTGGGCATTTTCGAGCTGGTAAGAGTCCTTTCATTTCCCCTGGACGAAATTGCCTGTCGTTGGAGATCCCATCATTGTTTTCGATTTCCAGCGACACGCAATTTTCCCTCATCACGAGAGGATGAAGGAAAAGGATGTTCTTTCCTCGAGGGAAAAGGACAGCCTGAGCAGGCGCAGGGAGCAATACTATATTTTTAAAGAGATAGAAAAAGTAGTGAATTACTTTTTCCCTTGCAAACGATTGAGCGTTCATATACAGACAAAAATTGCTCATTCGTGCCAAGACACGTGTTCAATCACTTGATTTGTTTCAAACTAACGAAAGCGAGTCAATCCTACAGTCTTTTACGTAACCACATACGTCATGGGCAAAGCCCCATGAATTAGTAACGAAGACGAATCAATGCCCCTTGCCCATGATTTCGACACAATGGACGGGGGTCCGCGCGAACGCAGCCCCCAAATGCAAAAATTGCGCCGTCGATTAACCCGCTTTAGAGGTCAATCGCAGGAATCAGTCCAACCGCAGTGCAATGGAAGAACCTCCCCCTGGGAGAACAGCCTTTTTGATCACCGTTTCTCCCCAGCCAAGTAAGTTTACTATAGTAGACCCTCGTATACATAGGTTCGAATGTACATTGCTTCACGAACCCAACATCCCAGGATTCACTCAAAAGAAACGAGATCAATGAATGCTTTCACGTGGCTGGTCGACACGCTTTCTTATTCGATCTATCTCTGGGCACACGACAACACAAATTGAAGTCCGAGGGAGAAGGAGTGCCGAGATGGGAAAGAAGAAGACGCAGAAGCGAGGAGCAGCCGGTGCGCTCCTGACATCTAGCGGCCACCGTTACAACTAACCTCTCCCCTACCCTACTCCTACCCATTCATGACGTCCATTTCGATCCGTGGATACGTTCTAGTGTCCCAGAGTGGAGCTTTTTCATTTCCAAGGTCTTCCTCGTCGGCATGCACGACATTCATGCGCGGGCACCCAGTCACATCTGCTACGACGCGGGTGACTATCAATGCACAGTGCGAGATGCGACGTCAGGTCATGCTGGGACGTTCGTAACGTATCGAATCTCTTCTATGTCCACTCATCACACTCATCAAACTTCACGAGGGGACTCAGAATTTCACGGTGAGCTGGGTCTGTTTCGGTGGCATGTAAGGAGAAAATGAAGCTTCCGAAAGATGAGCTGCTAGTTACCCATTAACTATAAATTTCACTTTCATGAGCAAGTACCACGTAGAATGCAGATAAATAAAAACTATAAATAATTGACGAGATTCCCTTGGTTGTACTTACATCTCCAACATTAATAAATACCTTAGGACATTCATCAAGAAGCACTGCATAAAACTTCCCAACGTATCCAGTATTTAGTATGGTCACTCAATCTCAATTACTCAATGAGCTAAAATTCCCTCTCCTCGATTCTTCTGATTTTTATGGTAATTGGTCTTTATAGTAGGAGTTGTTTTGAATGACCGCCAATTTTTCTGATATATTTAGACTTTAGTTTTTTTGAGTTATTTTGGGGGGAGGGGGTAAGTGCCCTCCCATTTTTCAAGAGAAGAAGCTGAAGTAAGAAGGAAAAGACGCATGAAATGTATGAGAGCAGTGTCCTAGAGTTCTCGTGCCTCCCCCGCCACCCTCCCACCCCCCCCTCCAAACTTTTTCCACCCTCGTGAAGCTTATGCATTCCTTCTATTCTCACGAGAAATACACGGGGTTTCTCGGTAGCGTAGCGAGGGAGGAGGATCGGAAGCCTCCCTCTCCTCTCTTTAAAGAAATCCTGCCAATCTATTGCTGATTCTCCTTTTGATCTCCCGGATGCTTTTTGCTCGCTTCCTGTGAGCGAAATCGCAGACGCAGTTTTCGTTGTTGGCGTCACTGCTTTTTTATTTTCAAGTTTAATTTAATTTAAGATCGTTTTCAAGATTTGTTTGATCTTCTCTTTCTGTTGATCAAAGAGCTTTCTTCATAACTTTTCCTGATGAGTTTCTCGACGAACTTTTGGCAAATAAGCCGCACTCCCAAAATGGAAAAAAAATTCGGCAGTCTATGCAAGACATCACAGTAATTCGCAAGCACTCGTTCACA